TGGTTAAATTTACAGTAATGACTGTAAGCTAAGTGATATGATATTACAAGCACACTAACATGAATAAAGTTTCACCCTGTGTTTGTTATATGTAATATCATGTTTACAAATATACAATCGCAAAATAATGAATAGTTAAAATATTAGTGAGGAATGGAAGTTATTTTGTCAGTTATGGCTATAAACTAAGTACATGTAGTATGATATAACAAAAACACTATAATTTCATTTTGTATTTGCAATATTATACTCTATAGTTATGAATTCATAGAACTGGGCACAGTACCATATGTTACAATATTAATTAGAATGAAAAGCTATTTTGTGAGTAATGACTATAACCTAAGTGGTTTGATATCACAAACATTTATTTCGTGTTTGTAATATCATACTCTATGGTTTATTGTTAATTAATAGTATTGTCACACATTATCAAAAGTTACAATATGCATTAAAGAATGAAGAACAATGACTAAGCTAAGTGGAGCATGTATGATATTACAGATTCATTGTAGTTTTGTTTTATGTGTTTCTAATATCAAACTTGTTACAAATATTATGGTGTATAATAACATGGGCTTTCAATAAGAGTTTGTGAAGAATGAAAAGTTATTGTAAGTGGTATGATACTTCAAGCACATTATAGTTTTATTTTGTGTTCGTAATGTCATACTATATTTCTTCATGAATGTATGGTATTCTGAAACATAGATATATAGCGAGGAATATAAAATTATTGCGTTGGCTAATACACGCCCAGTGAGTTGTTATATTTACAATACACTAATTTATTTTGTCTTAGTACAGTAATATTTGTTTTTATATGTTATTGTTATTATTGTTGACAAATAAACATCTTACTGTATTTTCAAATTCATACATAATGTTTCTCACTTTAGAATAAGTTTTGGTGAGTACATTAGATTGAACAGCCTATTATATTGCAGTACAATGCAGTCAAATGATAGAATTAAGAAAGAAAATAATGTATTAAGACAAATGTAACTTTTTTGTCACAATGACTATAGCAATTCTTAATTTTTGATTTTCAATATGTGTGAATTAATCCCAAAATCCGCTTAAAATCAAGGGTTTTATTAGGCATGTTTTATTGGTTGCTATGACAACGCTTATTAGAATATTTATAAAAAACTAAGGGAACAGTTTAACATTGTACCAAATGAATGTATAACACCACACATCATTGATTATGATCATGTACAAGACAAATAAACATCTTACTGTATTTTCAAATTCATACATAATGTTTCTCACTTTAGAATAAGTTTTGGTGAGTACATTAGATTGAACAGCCTATTATATTGCAGTACAATGCAGTCAAATGATAGAATTAAGAAAGAAAATAATGTATTAAGACAAATGTAACTTTTTTGTCGCAATGACTATAGCAATTCTTAATTTTTGATTTTCAATATGTGTGATTTAATCCCAAAATCCGCTTAAAATCGAGGGTTTATTAGGCATGTTTTATTGGTTGCTATGACAACGCTCTTTAGAATATTTATAAAAAAATCTAAGGGAACAGTTTAAAATTGTACCAAATGAATGTATAATACCACGCATCATTGATTAAGACCATTTACAAGACAGTTAAAAATTGTTACAAAAGTGCTCTCAAAAGTTGCATTTTGAGCAAATCGGCTGGGTGGTAAGGGTAGTATAACGTCAAAAATGGGCCGGGTGGTAAAGGGTTAAGTCTCTATAATTACAATACAAAGTTTGTATAAAGTGTAAAGAGACTTTATATACACCCTGTAATGTATATCATAAATATAATTTGACCAATGTCTCATAAATGATTCAGAGTTATATATTGGCCAGCCTATTTGCTCAAAGGTTAAAATAGTTCAAAATAATCTACTTATATTCATATTAACATACTTCAGGCTTAATTTGATACGTGATTTTCAATGAGATTTTACAGGGGTCTCCTTATCAAAAAATGTTGTGAGAAGTACCATTTATTTATATGTGTTAGGTTGGTGATAAGGTCGTATATCTGTATGTGATACTTACAGAGTTAGAATGATAAACAAATAACAAACAATGGTCCTCTGTATCATATATTCAAGACCAGATAAAATATTTTCATCATCTTTCATGAAAAGGCTAATTAGTGGAAAGCACTTCTGCTCCTTCATTCCATGTCTCACTAAATGCTATGAGATGACCTAGACTTGTTGCAAAACCTTACACTCACAGTCTCATACAAGTTGATCTAAAACTAAATTCTACACAAGGAGATCATATTCAGCTAGAGCTGAACATTTTTTCAGCTTGGCTAACAGTAACAGGACTTTAGGCTATCCTCAGTACTTCTAGATGTTGAAGGAATTAGATGAGAAAAAGCACATCTTAAGATGCATGTCAGAACAATAATTCATTGTACTGAGAAAATATCTCAAGTTTAAAATTTACAAAAAGTAAACACTCAATACTAAGTTGGCTTCTTTTTGGCACAAGACTATAATTTCAAACCAAACATAATCAATAGCTTTAAGTATTGATTGTTAGTTTAAATCAATATGATTAAATACTGCCCCATTGTCTGTAACCACATGCCCGAGTCCCACATTAAAAAATCACCAGAAAATTTAATTATTAAGAGTGTAAATAATTAACATTGATTAAAATATCAACACATGGTTAAAAACAAAGACCAAATTTAGAAGCAATCAGTGCCTTTGGTGCACTATTTTACTTTGGTGGGATAAAACCATATTTGGTTAATAATAAATAATGAACAAATAAATGCTCATGCAACAGTCTTTTCATATCTAAAATCATTGTTGTTCTCTAATAATGAGTGCTAAAAAAGTTTAAGACATTTAGAAACCATTCTAGTCTAGACAATGGAGTTAAATGACATTAAGACAGGGCCAATCAAATCAAGGCATTTAATGACAATGAGCACAGTAGCATCTCTGAAGTTCCGAACCTTCCAACTCAGGAATTGAAATACTCATTTACTAGAATCAATAATTGGAGGCCCTCTTGCTTTATATCTTCTGAACACAGGCCTCCGGAACTTGTACCTCACACTTCTTTGAAAGAAGAAAAGAATGTATTGGATGATATCTGAAGAATTGCCTTTAGAGGATACTCTACTATGGCGGATCCGGGGGGGGGCCCATGGGGCCCGGCCCCCCCCCCCTAAGGTTGGCCCAAAAAAAAAAGAAGTTGGGCCCAAAAAAAATTTAGGCCAAAAAAGGCCTTAAGGCCCCAAAAAGTGGGCCTTTTGGTCATTATTGGGCCTTCTAAGGCCTTATTTTTTTAATTTAGGCCAAATTTGGAAGAAAATGGGCCTCAATTTTTCAAAATTTGGGCCCACTTTTTCGGTTTTAGGGGCCCAAAATTTTTTTCCGCGCAAGCGCGGAGGTGTTTCCTTTATTCTCAAATTTGGGCCCCCCCCCTTGTTGGTTCCTGGATCCGCCACTGCTCTAGCTACAGCCAATATTTGTTTCCTCATCTCAGAGATAACTTTCTAAGGTAATAACTCATAAGCTCATTATTCTTCCATATGGGTCTAATGAACATAATTATCTTTCTTGATACATCAAGTAGCCAAGATAACACAGTATATTGGCCACTTAGTGCATAAACACAGTACATGCAATACATACAAAGGGGTTTCACTAGAATTTCTCACAACAGGCTATATAAATGAAAACAACAGGCAAAATTAATGGAAATCATAAATTCAACATGGAAAAGTTGAAAAGTCCCTAAAAACAACAGGCGTTTTTTAAACAACCGGTGAAAATTACCTGTTGCCTGTTGCTAGTGAAACCCCTGCATACAGTAAAACATGTAAAATGTGAACACTAGGTTTTCGGGTTGCATATTTTGGGGATCTATTTAAAAAATCAAGTGAAAAGTATTCAGCTTACTTGCCCGTAGCCAGCTTTTACCAGGGGGGGAGCTTTTTTCCAGGGGGGGAGCTTTTTCACAATTTCGGCTAAAAATCATGCGAAAAATTCTCAGAATGGTGAAAAACTGCATGATTTTGAAAGAATTTCTGGCCAGGGGGGGAGCTTCCGCTCCCCCAGCTCCCCCTCTGGCTCAGGCCTGGCTTACATATAGAGTTTGTAAAGAGGAGATGCACTTTTACATACAGAGCTATGTAGTAAACTCTTATATTCAATAGGTTAAACAACTTCAGGTTTTTAGTTACAAGTTTAAATAAAGTGAGTGATTTTTTACACTTTGCCCAATTGCTTTAACAACAATCTAAACAAAACCCTGGAGAAAGCCCTGGGCTCCCAAGTTCTTTTTCTAATAGACTTTCAAAGAGATACTGACTTTCAATCCCCAAAATATAAACTCTGCAAAGTACAGGCTTCGAGGAACAATCAGATATCTTTGATTCGATTCTTTATCTGACTAATTATGCAGGTTAGAAGAAAAGATAATTTTTCTAACTTTTCTCTAGAGTGTTTCGAGAGGTTGTTGATGTTTCAAAATTTTGAAACTTTACCTTACTCTACTCCTTTAGCTAACAAACTTGGCAAAAGACAGGTTTTCCATATTTAAAAAATAATCTATAATTGTTGAGCTTTTATTTGCTTAGCGGTAAAATGGTCTCCTTTCTCAGAGGTCTTGAAACTGTATGCACAAAAACAATAAATTCAACCTCACAATTATCACAATAGATGCAAGAAGATGAATACAAATATTTGGATACAAAAATTAGAAGTCATATAAGGCATATTCGAACATGACCGCATTCATGCCTTCTATAAACTGTGGACAAAGTCAATATCTCACCAAGTATGTATTCGTTGAGAATGTACTTGGTAATACGAGTAATGTGTGACGTCAAAGCAATGGACCGTACTAATGACGGACTATAATGAATATTTGAACATTTTTTCAGTTTTCATGTTCGAATCATAATATAGCAATAGACAGTGCAGGTGCCTATCGACGAATACTGTTGACATGAATTTTAAGTACAAGAATAAGAAAAATTTGCTCACCTTCAGTTACTTGTGCTTGTGATGAATGAAGAGCTGATAATGACAGGCAAAGAACTAAGAGCATTGAGTATAATCTTGGCAGGTTATCCATTCTGATACTAGTTGATTAGGCTGATGAGAAGAGATAGGAAGTCTATAGACTTTATAAGACTACATGGATAGCCTAACATTCACAGGTGTCTTGACTTTTTGTGTACTTTTATTGACAGTTTCTTGGCCTTTGTACCTCCATTTTCATAATATATATAATCTATAAGACTCTACATTAGTATACGTAATGCATATGTTGTTCACGTCAAAACGCTACTTTGACATACAAATAGCATATCTAGGTATCAAATTGATATTTGAGAACCTTCAGTCACAATTTATAGTAAAACCAGCGGCCATATTGAAAACAACAAAAATTGTCAACATACTCCGGTTTAAATCATGAATACTAGTTAAATCCTTTCAAAACTAGTCTATCTAATTGATTCAACACACGTATTGATTATTCCGATTGTCATTTTACATCCATTGTCTTAGAACGTTGACGTAAATCCAGTAATATAATCCATAAACGAACACATTTCTTTTCACACTATATTCTTTTAAATCAATCGTAGGTCACGTGACCATAGCGTGGGAATTTGATTGGTTTACACCTGTGTTTTGGTCAGATTGACATTCGTAGAATTTATTGAATTGTTTTATAATACCAGCCTGACATCTATGTTTTCAATACAAGTTTAGAAACATCCTAATATGAAGACTTTCTTCATATCATATCTTGGTTTTTGTTTTATCAAATTCGACTACATTGTGCCTCATTATGATTGTGTTATGATGGCTTGGTGTTGTTGTGGCTAATTGTGTTGTGTTAATTCAACATTGGGTTGTGTTAAGCTTCTTACCTGTGTTGCTGATTTATTATTGGATTGTGCGGATTGTGTTGTGTTAATTTCACACTAACAGTATACAATTGTTGACCTCTCCAGAGGTCAACCGGCAAAATTGTATACCGAGACTGTAAACCGAGAAACTACTGTTGACAGAGACCGAAGGTCGAGGTCAACAGTAGTTTCAAGGTTTACAGTCGAGGTATATGATTTTGACGGTTGACCGAATGGAGAGGTCTACAATTGTTTTGTTAGTCAGAAGAAACTAATAATACTCATAGGCCTATATACAACAGTCATCAATCATGGCTTCATTTCACAATCTTTTCTCCGAACCACGCCAGCAATAATGTTTTAAGAAAATCTGAAGACAGTGGAAGCTAAACTCTCTGTTTTCGGCACATAACTGCGTACTCACTAATAAATTAATGTTAATTTTGCGTTTCAATTTGTATTTTTGCTATAGTCGTCGTGTAGAAAATTCAAAGTAGCATTTTCATCAACGTTTACCAAATGTCCGTCTACCATGTTTTTTCTGTAAACATTGTGAAGTTATATTTCCCATAATTCACAAGTGTAGTACAGTAACATACGCGGTCAATAATATGATATCCCATGATGCACAAGTGAGGTACAGGCAAAAATGTTGACCGCTAATTGACCAATCAGATGCGTGTATTTACACTGAGGTACTAACAATCTGTTTTGTTTTGGTGGTTGTTTCTCCAATTATGCCAATTTGACAATGGATGGCATGGGCGTAGCCACGGGGGTGGGGTGCGATGTCAACCAAACAAGAATAGAAAAAAGCAATTTTGTAAAATTTGTTATAAAACATAAACAAATTATAGTTTGGCATGTTTAGAATGCAACATATACTATGTAATTTTTTTTTTAAATTCCAGGGGTGGATCCCCGTACCCCCTTCACTCGCAGTGATTTCAATGATTTTTTTGTCCAGTTGTTGATGGTTGTATTATGTTAGTTTGCTATTGGATTGTGCCATATTGCATTATGCCAATTTGACAATGGATGGTGTTATGTAGTGCTGTAATTTACATTTCCCAGGGGGCTAGGGGAAAAGTAAAAATTATATGAAGTATTGGATTATGATTTGGGATAGTTGGGGTTTGTTTTCTTTATGACTGGTGTACTCAGATTGCATTATCTGGATCATCCAATAAATGTTATTTAACATGTATTGTAATGACTTCAGTCAGTATGGATTATCGGATTATAATTTGGGATAATTGGGGATTGTTTTGTTATACGCTTTCATGTAACATAACATCTGAATAATATATTACATGAGATATTTAAAAGTTGTCTTACATAGCAAGTACAATGTCTCCTCCATCTTATCTATTGACAAAAAGTATATTGCTCAATTTTTTCAAAGGTAGTTAAATGTAAGATATGATGTGTGCATGCTCATTCATTTAAATGCTCATTAATTTCATTATTTATATAGGCCATTTGTAGTGATATATGTTTCCCAATGAACTCAGTACATCTATTTTAAACTCCTGAATCTTAAACATTTACTTTTGAATTTTCTTTGTTTTGTAGTTTCTTTTTAACATCATTTTGGCCTACGCATTTCTTAATACGTTCTCCATAATAAACTCACATAATATTGTGTTAAACAAATAAATGCAAGACTACTGGCCTAATTATATTACACAACCAAAATTCACGCAAGGTTCATTAACATTATTAATTAAGGCCCAAATCCTGAGGCCTTCCTCAGATCCATCCTTTGTTTGGTGACTATATAAGCCAAATGAGGAAGAGAGAAGACATCACTTGATCAAACATCACAATGTTGTCTGCTGCAATCTTTCTAGCTGGTCTTGCCTGCGTCTTTGCTGAGGGATACGGATGTAAGTGTTATGTATATTACCAGTATGGTTTTTATTAGTTAATAAAATTTGATTTTTTTTGTTTTCAGTGGCAAATATTATCTTAAATTAAAATTATTGTTTGGTTTGATATTTCAAATTCAATTTCATAAATTCAAAATTTTTTGTAAAAGGCAAGTTGCATCCAATAATAAAGTACAGAATTGATACAAACAATGCTTTTGGACATACCAGGGTGGTCAAAAAAAATGGAAACCCTTACACCATTTTCCTCATATATTTGTCATTTTAAGAAATAACTTCCTGATATTTTGTACATTTGTACATCATTCAATTTCCGACCAGCCTACTTCATTGGATATTACTACTTCGGATTGATATTAACAATGTTACAGCACTTTACAGAACAACCCTAGTGGCCACTATTGTGCTGTCGGGCCACCTACACTCCCTGTCCAAAATGACCCTACCTGTAGGGTTATGGCAAGGAAAAAGTGTATGAGAATGACCTCAGGAGAATCACAAACCTAAAAAGTGAGATCATCCGTATCATTCAGGCCATACCTGCTGAGGAATGCATTCGGCCCATTGACAACTGTGCAGGTTTGCCTACAGCGCGATGATGGCCAAAATTGAAGCATGTTATTCAAAGTGCTGTAAAATTGTGACTATCAGTTTGATGGTCATGAAATTTGGTATGGTGGTAGGAAATTGAATGATGTACAAATGTGTGAAATATCAGGGAGTAATTTCTTAAAATGATAAAGATATTAGGAAAATGCAGGGTTTCCATTTTTTTGACCACCCTGTAATAGAAATTGGGTTTGCATTTACAATTACATGTAAATAATTAAGATTTTCAGGTCATCATTATTGAACTTATTAGAAATTATAGTAAAACTGAGTACAATATTAACATGTGATTTTTATTATTCAGCCCGGTGCTATGACTGCAACTACGCCCCATCTGGTTACACCAAGCAGGTGAACTACTGGACCAGAGTATCTTCCAATGCTGGATACGCTGGATGTGCCCTCGCCAAATACGGAGATGCTGAGACCCTCGACAAATGGAGCTGCTCCTCCGGAGAGTGCTTCATCCGTAAAGACCCTAATGGTCTTGTCTACCGTGGCTGTGCCAACAAGGAGAACCTTCCCCTTGGAGTATCTACCTACAAACAGTGCGCCAACCAGGCTGGTTCTCTCTGGTATTTCTGTAAGGGAGATCTCTGCAACAGCAAGCAACTTGGAGACTACGGAGTCTGTGGATACAAACCCGCATACTACAATTCTTATAAGAGTGAGTTATTCACAAATTTTTATGAAAATGTGTTTATTTCACCAACATATATTTCGATGATTGTACAAATTATGAATTTTGGATAAATTAATAGAACTTTAAAACTGACAGCAGTGGAAGAAATGTAGATTCATAAATACATTAAATAAGTTTCAAAGTGTTCAATACACTAGTAGAAATGACTATGATCTAGTTGCTATCTTACAAGACCGCCATTGAACTAGCGTGAGATCAACTGTCTTACAATTCTGAACAATATTTCAAACATTCTTTTTTGCGTTAATGAATATTTTCAGGCCCATGTGATGGCAAATGCTACAACAACCCAAGTGGTCTTTTCGCTGACAAATACAACAAGAATGGTTTCATCCAGTGTGGATGTGACTACAAATATGGCAAAGCCTGTATCTGCTGCAAGCCTTTCTTCATGAAGTGCCCATATGGTAAGCTTGTACATCTTAAGTTGCTATCTATCTATAGTAGAGCTGATTGACTAAAATTTTCCAATACAGTTCCCGAGATATATTCATCAATTTCAATGTGGGGGAGCTGCATCATCATTCTTGTTTTTATCCCATGATGGGATTCCTTTCATTAATTGTTTATTTTTTCAAGTTGATTTGTTACATCCCTCATTAATTTCCCATGTTATGAAGGTAAGGAAATACTGTGAAAAAGCTATGAAACTGACATGAACCTTTTTTCATGGTGCTGAATGTTTCTTATGCTACACATCATAAAAGATGCTGCATTCAATGATTTGAAAATTGTTTACAGGAACTGCCTTCGATGACTACACCAAGGTATGCAGCAAGGATGCCTACAACCCAGACTACATCCCTACTCCATACAAAGCTGAGCCCGTCTACCATGCCCCATCCTATGGATACCAGGCTCCCAGCTACGGATATGGATACCAAGCCCCAGCATATGGATACAACAACCACTATTAAACATTAAAGTTTGATTACAATTGATTGTGTAAAAATATGTTGACGATAATAAAGTCTTAATTAACAACAACCTTGCTATAGATTTTGTTTTACCATATTTTGCCATAGACTCTGTAGTTTAGCCTCCTTTGTATATTTCTATTCCTTTGTTCATTCATTCTTTTATTCATTCATTTACAGTGTATTTATATTCATTATCAAATATATTTGAGACACACTCTTTTACCACCTTCCCAAGCTTGGTCTTCATCCGACGGGAGCCAAGTGAACGAAGATGCTCTTTACACATTTACAGTTACCCAAGGCTGTTTTTACCATAGTTTTTGTTGCTTCTACAACAATCAGGTTTAGAAATTTAACATCCTTAAAAAAAGATCATATTATTATACTCTCAATTTCAGTTAATATCACAATGGAAAATGGAAATCTCAAACATCCACCAACTCCTCCATGTTTCCAAGTTTACCACATGCAGACATTTTTTTCATGTTTTCCAAGCTAACCACATACAGTCAGAGCTGTCACACACCTATCTTATTTTAACATTGAAAATGAATTGTTGAATTTTAATGCATCAATCTATCTAAAAGATATTTGCAACCAGTCCCAAACATTACATAAAATAAGTTCATAGTCTGGTAATATTAAATCCATTTATTATAGTGTTCATTATCACAGACTTTATTACAATTTTTCGTTTCGAATGCAAACTGCATCCATGATCACTAAATTTAGATTGAAAACAGTTGAAATGAATACAGGTAAATCTACTATTACGTCATTAAACCTTAACAATGTCAAAAAATAATTAATTGCTATGGCAATATAACTTCATCCCACAAGCGATCTAGATTGAAAAAACGAAAAAAGATCATGGATGCAGTTAGCATTTGAAACGTCTAAAACAAAAAAATTGTAATAAAGTCTGTGACAATGAACACTAATAAACAGTCCCACACATGTATATTTTAGTGTATCATTCACAAAGAAAATATTACAAAACAAAAAGTTATAGTGTATTAAATAAACTTATATTTGGCACCTGAGAATTGTTATCTTGATAAATGGAATAAATTATAACATTACAATACATGTTCATTACATCACAATATATAACATTAACAAGGCTATAGGGAAAATGCAAAATGTCACCACCTGCCATTTGTTACACATGCTGAATGCCAATCCCTAAACGCCAAACACCGTCCACAAAAAAGTTGAGACTATAACAATATGTCAACACTTGTGGTTGTGACATAATAAATGATACAATATAAATCTATAGACTTTATATCTCTAGTATTGATAAACTTATATATATTCATTATAATAGGCAAAATTATGCGTAGTAATAAAAAACATTTCTTCTGTTATAGAAATTAATTTTTTTAGAACAAAGTGATATAAAATGTTCATGGTCCATGTATAATATACAACTCTAAAAGCAAAAAAACATATGGGAATGTGGTACCCTTCAAAAATAGTAGAGTAATGAATACATGTAATAACAAAAAGAATTCATATGAAAAATTGTCCTGTACCTATATAGATTAAACCTTCAGTTGCTTCACTTACATCCATTATAAAATTCTAGCACAGTACATGGTTATAAAAATATGATAAAATTCATATAAATATAGACACACTAACAAACATTTTGGTGTCCCTTTGACTGCTGTATTAGAATACATTGCCAAAGACAGCCATGACGTATGTGAGGTGTCCCACCAAAATTGTACAGAAAGAAAAATGGTCATGAGTTCAAATAATGGGTAATAGTAGATTTACATCTCCTTAGGTTTTTAATTGCCTCATTCATTTTAGGTTCCTGGCTACAACACTGACCTATGTCAAATATGTTCAGTACAATATCACAGTGTAGTTTCCCTGAATTCACAAAACAAGTTCAATTTTAGCAGGTGTCACTAAAACAACTTGTACCCAAATGAACCAGGAATAACATTTTTCTTTCATCGAAAGAATCGAAATTTATCATGATGAAGACAATTCATTTTCCAATAAGCAGTTAAAATTCATTTTATAAATAACTGAGGAACTTGACATTATAGACAATATATGCTCTAAGACTAACTGACCTCCATCTAGATTGATGCAGAGTTAATGTGATTCCAACTTTTAGATGTTTATGATAATCAAATTGTCTGTAATGTGATTGAATTTCAAGAATTATATTCATCACTCACATAGTAATTCTATGTCCGTCTTGGTACACTTTTCAAACATGGAAAATGGGTGATGGTAGGCTACTAAAACAAGCTTTTCACAAAAAAAACAAGAGAGAGTTACCTGGGGAACTTTTAAATATTCATGATAAAAAATGTTTAGAATTTTCTTGAATCACTCAGCTACTCCATGTTTGTCTCGGTACAATTTTTGGGACACCCTGTATTTTGCTTGGCAATAAGATCCCCTGTTTATTTTACGGGAAATGCCAATGATTTGGTATTTAATTATCCTGCTAATCCTCTTGGCCTTTCATAAATCACCAGTAATCATGTCCTCATTTGTAATCCATCTATTGTTCTCTCAAATTATGCATCACTCAGCCATCTTTTTGAGTAAGTCCTTGGCCTGAAAGAAATTGATTAATTAGTTTAATTTGTGATTTTAAAAAACTTTATTTCTGTGTCTATTATTACCATGGGCTTTCAACTCTAGTTGAAAGCCCATGTTATTACCTAATAATCATCAAATAAGTACATTTGTATGCAAGTGTCCAAGGGAAAAGATTAAAAAGTATTACAGAACACATAATAAAACACAAAATAAAACATTAGAGTACACCAGTTTTTAGGAAAACAAAGGGACATTTCATTCATACTGGTCATTACAATAAACTCAATACTCAAAGCATTAAAAATAGTTGTAGCTGCTAGTATTCTATCACACTAGAATAGAACATTCAGTCTCAAATGATGTGGGACAGACAAAATCCAGTCTTGAAGTCCATAATTGTACCAAAGGGTCAATATCTATCTGCGTAGCTGATACCATTATACATGAAACAATGGCAATCAGGAGAAAACTATGGATGGATTCAATCCTATTTCTCAACAATAATTCCATAGCTAGGATCCACCTTAAAAGGTACCACGTGAAAGAAGCTATTCTGTAAAAAATACAGCATGCAGCATCCTTGAGCATGTCATGTGGCAATACTCATAAAAATACATTGTAAAAAATTAATGCTTGCATGACAATCAGCCTGAGTTTTATGTATGACTTTATCATTTCAGCAAAATACATATCCATTTCCTCTCAATCTGATAGATAATGATTCTCAATCACAAACAAATTATAAACACTCACTATGATGCCCATAAGTTTGTCAGAACTTCAGATAGAGTCTATAACATTGGAGTACATGTACTTATACTGTTGTACATTTTTAAGATTTAGAGAATAATCACATTTTCACCATAAATATTCATACATCAGAATGCTGTATTATTTGGATCAACCAAATATCAAATCTTCAACTGAAAAAACTGTAAGTTTGGCCATGCTGAAACAAAGACATAAAAACGCAGATGGGAGTAAGTAGTTACTAGTTTCACCACCAGGTGGCCCATTCGGGTCAGATAGCAAGGCAGGTAATGTAGAAACTTCCCTTTAACTTAAATTACATCTGTTTTAGTGGTTCAATTTTCATATAACCCTTATATCTCTAATAGTTATACAAATTAAAATATATCCAGTTAAAGAAAATGTTATCTGTTATTTTGGATTTTGTAACAATGGGGAATCAACCCGAACTAGAAGTCACATTTTCCCAAAAATTAAATTTTCAAAGTTGATAAACAATTTTCGAAACCATATTTCTTGACATACTTTTACATGCAGATTGTAAATATGACATCACTTTGACTGAATTTTGAATATTTAATGACGTAAATCAATATTGTTTAGACTCGCATCTAGTCTACTTCTTCATTTAATTCCAGTTGATCCCCAGTGCTATTTAGTGTTTTAATGTATGTGAATGCACTGTATATGCTTTCATATTTCTCAACACTTTATTACACAATCATTTTACATGCAAAGACTGCAATTATACAAAACATAGGAAGCATGGCAACCCTTCTATCAAAAATCTACCAGCAAACACATATCCAATATTACTCAATATGTCCCAATGGCAAGTAAATTAACACGCAATATGTGCATGCTCATCTAACTTATATCTATATAGGCCATTTATATGTTTCTCAATTTGCAATTTACATCTGTTTAAAGTATTGAATATAAAAAGTTCACCAATGTACATGAATTATTACTGATTTGTAGTTTCCTTTTACCTATACTTTGGCCAACACATTTATCTGCTTACAAAATATTATAATAAACTCATCTATATACGTATGTACATGTATTTGGAACAAATGCAAATATACAGGCCTAATTAAATAAAAATCATGCAACCAAAATTCACACGAGGTTCATTAACATTATTGAATATTAATTAAGACCCTAATCCTGGGGCCTTCCTCAGATCCATCCTTTGTTTGGTGACAATATAAGCCAAATGAGGAAGAGGGAAGACATCACTTGATCAAACATCGCAATGTTGTCTGCTGCAATCTTTCTAGCTGGTCTTGCTTGCGTCTTCGCTGAGGGATACGGATGTAAGTATTGTGCATCATACACTTAGATTATGCATTAGATATACCACTTAAAGAACTTAATTCTTTCAAATAGTTAGTAAGAATCAACAAAAGTTTAGATTAAACTACGATATTTGATTTGTATTAAAATTTCAAAGTCAATATCAAATTTCAAAGTTTTTGTTTGCAAAGTCAAGTTGTATGCATAGATTTAAACTAAGAGCTTCCAAATTGATATGAGTGAAGTTGTGGAAACATTGGAAATGTTGGGATGTTTTCTCTTTCTTTCTTTCTCTATTCGATTATACATATGACTACAATATTCCTGATTAATGTAGTTGTACTTATAAGGAATTTCTATTCATACATATTAAGAGTGATTAAACAGAGTGTAATATTAACTTTTCATTTTAATCATTCAGCCCGATGCTACGACTGCA